TAGTTACCAATTCCTGATATTCTTTCTAGGACATATACAGTATATCAAGAGAAAAGAATAATTCTTATGGCCTATGTTTTATTAGCCAAATCTTAAGATTGTTAATCCACAAAATAATTCTACAAGGGTCACAGAAAGCAAAGGAGAAACTCTGGAAAATATCTTCATCGGTTGAAACTCTATGGAGATTTTAAATGAAAACAAAGTTCTGTTCTAAAATAATAAATCCTAATTAGGTAAGAAGGAGAGAAACTATGCCAAGCATGACAGAACCTAAGTATGAAGATGTCAGAAGGAATTCATACCAATTTATGAAATTCCAAAAGGATTCTGGCAATAACGTTACGTGATATTGAAAACCCTTTGACTATACACAGAGATGGAATAATTAACCTATTGTATGATATTATATTTTAAAAGAGAAATGTGTTGTAATAACAACATGAACCAAATATACCATTATTGGCTGTATGTTGAAATAGTTCTGACAAGTGATATAAGCCATTTGTACTAAGAGATACAAAGTGTTAAGTTTATTTTATTGCATGCCTCATGTTTGCGTAAGATTTGCTTTTTTCATGTATTATAGTGCTTTCATTTCTCAAGTTTTGCTTTTTTAATTTTTTCTGATGATAACTGTTTTGTCAATACATGTATTCCAGTTTGTCTCTAGGTTTTGCTATATGAGTCTTACTACCTTTACTGATTCCCAGGCTTAGAGTAGCATATGCCTAACTCTCAATTGAACAGAATTTGAAGCTTAGCACACTTTTGAATTTCATGCTCAATTTATTATCACTGACTCTAAAACTTTATAGCCTCCAGATTACAAACCATATTAAAATAGTATAAACTACTACATACAATGGTCAAAACTATCAACCTATCAAGAAACCATTCATGAATTTATGGTGTTAATTTTAAAAAGTGTTATTAGGTTATAGGCAGTGGTGGGATTCACCGGTTCAGGCCGGTTCACACGAACTGGTGGTAAAAATTTTGGCTGGCCCCGCCCATCCCGCCTCATCTCGCCCGCCATTGCTGCCTGCCTTCCGCCGTGGCCCTGATCTCCCTGGGTGAGTGAGCCTGCAAGAAAGCCCCAGTCAAGTCGACTCCTGGGCCGACTAAGGCTGCTGCACTGCCTCCCCACTGTCCCCTGGCTTGCTTCACTGCCAAAGCTGCCCAAGAAAACTCCCTGTTGAGGTAATTCCCCGTTAGGAGAATGAGTGCACACAGGGAGATGTAGTGAGAGTAGTGAAGAATAATACACAACTAGCACACAGATACACTGTATAGTAAAATGTAGGTTTTTACTTCCAATAAACGTTTAAGCAAAGTCCAAACAAGCAGTCCAAGTCATTCACAGTTAAAGCAGTCAGTTTTCAGTCCAGGGATCATCCCAATCACAAAGTCCAGTATCAAAAACAGTTCAGTAACAGACTTACATCAAATCCAAGAAGAACTATGATCAGTCAACAGTCAATAAGGAACAGCAACACTCTCCAGAAACAATAGAACATGAACTAAACAACCCAGGTTTCTGGCTCCAACTTATGGCCATTTGAGGAACCACACCCAATTACAGTTTTAGCATTCTCTTAAAGAGACAGTATTAAAATGTCTATCCTGGTTTATATATTTTCCAACCCAACTAACTGTTAGGTGACTTACATTCCTAACACTCCCCAATGCTGGTGCAGTTCTGGGACGCTCTGCCACCGCTTGCCTTCCTGGCAAGAGCCTTCCCATCAGCGAGAGTGGCTCTGCAGCCTCTCTGACTGATGAAAACAACTGGACCGTGCCCCCACCACTCACACCACCACCCCTAAGTATGGCAAGCCCCAGATCGGGACTCCGCACAAAGGACATTGCTGGAGCTGAAGGGGCTGGCCTTCTCCTCTGCCACCAGCCACAGGAGGAAGGTTAGGGCAAGGTAAAGCCAAACCACTGCCCAGGCAAGAGCTGCCAGTGGGGGTGGGCGAGGCTGCAGGGTAAACCTGGCTGGAAGTTGTAAATCTCCCCAAAAGAGGGAGGGGAGGAAGTTCCGCCGCTGTCCAGGATGACTTTATAATAAGAAAAGACCTGGGTATGTTTTTATTAGCCTTTCCTAACAAGACTGATTTTTGCTTGTATCATTGTTGGTCTCAATGAGCAACTCATCTGCCTTTTGATGCTATGCAGTTAATCATGCATTGCTTAATTAGTCTGATAATTCCCCATCTCTTCAGAGAGCAAGATAATTATGTTTATGAATAGCTAATATCACCCTCCTGAGTAATTCCCTTTGGAACACTTTCCATTTTGATAACGTAGGAATTAAGTGTTGTCTTTTGGGTTTACCTGAATGAAATTCAGGTGTAGGCATCGGGGGGGGGGTGTTAATTTGAAAAAGAGCAGTAAAAGAGAAGCATGTTTCTGTACATAACAGAAAAGAAAGGAAAACACTGAGAAGTGTTGAGGAGCTGAGGGGTGTGTATGTGAGTCAGGGAATTCCATACCAGAAAGATTGTTTTGTATTCCAGTTAAATTACAAATGTTTTTTGTGAAGGATCTGTGAAAATTTTGGAATATTGCAATAAGGCCCAAGAAAAAAAAAATAAAGCAGAAAGATTTAATTAAAGGAGAAGGGAAAGAATGGTAAGACATCCACTAACTGACTACTTTAAAAATGCCTTTCAAATGTGTTTTCACTTGTAGGATTGGAAATATTTGCTTGATTGTATGCTTTAATGTTCAAAAAGAATAATCTTTATCAGTATAGCAGAGATGTATTCTTCAAGCTGTAATGCATTTTGCAAAAACCATTGTTAGTAAACTGAATCCCACTATAGAACATCATTTCTCACCAAAAATGCAATTTAATGGAGAGTAAAATAAGATTTTACACAGGCAAGAAAAAAAATGTATAGAATAGGTGGTGCCTGGCTCAATTGGAAGTAACTATGAGATGGATCTGTGAGATGGAAACTTATCAAACAGATCCAACCTAGAAATAAGAAGAAATTTCCTGACAGTGAGAACAATTAATCAGAGAATTGGATGCTTTCAGAAATTGTGGGTATACCATCACTGGAGGTTTTTAAGAAGAAATTTATCCATAATAGTATAGGGTCTCATGCTTCAGCAGGGGTTGGACTAGAAACCCTCCAAGGTCCTTTCCAACTCTATTATTCTTTATAAATCTCTCCACTCAGTCTTTTCAAGAGAATGGTGATAAACAATATTTGGAAATGTGTATCAGATCTTCTGATAGCAAAATCTCATCTTATTGGCTAATATCAAGGGGAAGATGACTTTGAAAAAGCTTCCTCTCTCACCATAACATGCAAGACGAGGCGAGAACTAGTTGGGATGGAGAAGCAAGGTGAGGTGCCCCTCCATGTGAGTGACATCGAGTTGGCCATGCACCCAGTCATATGACCACCAAGCCACGTCCATCGAGCCACGCCCACAGAAGTGGTAGTAAAAAAATAATTGAATCCCACCACTGGTTATAGGTTTTAGGTTATCATGAAAGCATGGCACAGGGTAAACATGACAGACAGCTTTCCTTAGACCGAACGGAATGGATGGGGGTTATGTATGCAATTTCATGATAATTCAAATTTCTTTCCTAAGGTCAAAATTGAGGAGATATGCTTTGGGGATGTTATATCATTCTCTACTGAAATTCTTGTGAAGAAATATTGGGGAATATTGCTGAAGAAGGTGAACCCAGTCCAAACCCTTACTGTTTACATCTGATTAGTAAGAGCAGTCAAAATTATTTTTTAAAATCTATTGCAGACACAATAATGTAGTTGTAGATATCAACATTCATTCAATCCAATACTTCAGATACAAAGCAGAAAAGAGACTATTAGCCTCTTTCTTAATCAGGTGGAGTTAGTCTTTACAATAACTTATGTTTCATATACCATAACACTTTTAGTATATTTAGCATAATTTAGTAAATTATACTAAGCAGTATAATTTTAATGCTACTCATTTTAATAAGTATTACTTGCAAACCAATATCAGAGGTTATACATCTTTTAGTACTATTTATAGATTAATTTTAGTCTTCCTTTTGGCTAATATTTGACAGACTTTATGAATTAACCAGCACAAATATTTTAAATCAATAGATACTTATTCCTGTATAAAAAGCTTTTTTTTCCATATCCTCCAATACTTACTTCATAAAGATTAAAAAGAAAAATAGCCATTTACTTGTGAAATCAACATAATTGAAGTGAAAATAAGCCAATTTAGAGTACTGGTATCAGCATGAGAGGTTTACACATTAACAAAATTCTTTTCAGAAAAATTCAGGTCTTGTTATCATTTGACAAAATACAGTTAATAAGAACATCTGTTTTCAGTAACTGCTAATTGCTGTTATTTAGTTAAACCAATAACAACTTAGGGGATAAAAAAGCAAGCCTGAACAAATATTGTCCAGTTTAAACTCCCTTAAACAGAAGGGTAAAAATTGTGCATAAATGGAGTTGCACATCTGTTCATCAGTCAAAGTTAAGACAAAATCCTTTCTAATATGTAGCCTAAATTCTATGTATTTGTATAGGCCTACAAAGTGATATGCATATCTACTAGTTACATACTCAATAAAACCTCTGTAGGGTTTTCAAAATGTATAATTGCATCTCAAAATTATCGGTTTTGCAACCAAAAGTACTCATTCCCACCCCAATTCAAACATTTCCTATTTCCAGATTAAAAAAGAAAGTTTGTGGAACTAAAATATTAAATGACTTAAATACATTAATCTCCAAAGTAAAAATAACATATAAATATCATTTGTGAATTTGTGAAATACATTCACACTTGTTGTTTCTACTAACTTGAAATGGGCTTGCCTCTTTTTCTGTCAAACATTAATAAGAGGGAAACAGAAAATGGAAATGGGCATATGAAAAAAAATGAACAGAAACTAAAAACAAAAGTGAGGGAATGCAACAGCAGCAGTAATAGCAGGACACTTTGGCAAAAGTACTCACGCAGAATCTACTGGCCAGAAGTTGATCAGAGTAATAGGACTGCAAGACAAAAAATGAGGAGGTGAAGAGAGAGGCAGAAAAATCTTAGCAGGAAAATAATTACGGAAGGTTAAAAAAAAAACACCAAATCAAGAAAATTCAGTAGACTAACATGAATGTCCATGAAAGCAGCCAAAACATGAGAAAGGAAATATTAAAAGAGAAAAAATAGAAAGATAGCAAGCTGCAGTGCAATTTCCATTAAAACAAATTTTAATAACTAGCATATTTTTTTCTATTAATCTTACAGGAATACAAGGGACAGGTTTGTGAATTTGAATTTAAACATTAATGTCTCTGTATCAAGAGAAAAAAGGGCATGTTCATTTCTATGCACTCAACTATAAATTATAAGTAAATAGAAGAATTTTCAAGCAATCATTAAGACAACATATATTTTTATTTTGTTAACAATTTAACTTAGTATAGGATTTGCAGCTGATAAAAAGCAAGGAGAATAGCAACCAAGACCACAGCTTGCCTTTTCCTTTCAATAAAAATAAACAAATATAATAGAAATGAACAAGATGTTATGCAGTCAGGAAATATAGGGAGCAGTGCCAATTGAGAAGCTCAGAACTTATCAAATGAGATATTATTAATATTCTTCACTCACGTTTCCATGTTGTCTCCTTCCAACACTGTTTGTACAGGCAAATAACCCATTCTTGGATGTTTTGCAAAGTATCTTTTGGTTCGGAATTTATTTTTTAATACCTTGGCAAAGTCACGGACATCTTCTCCTGAAGTAGTCTGAAAGCAATATTTCAGCAATAGAATTTTATTAGTTTTTTTTTTTTTTGCAAATTTTATACATCAGTTGTTTGTTTTGCAACTTTTAAAATAAACTGTGTCATAGTCATTTTACATGGCCACAAAATTTAATTCTATATCCATACTGGAAATATTCTCACAATCTGGTGATTTACAATTTACTATCAAATATATTTTTAGAATTTGCAAAATATATTCCTGAACATGATGGATACGAAGAAACATTTAGTTGAACATTAAGATTTTCCTCTATGCTTTTAGCCATTTTCTACAAGACAAAACTCTATGATTGCAAGATTACAATACATTAAATGTTAAATATGTATGTCAAATCCATGATATTATGTAATTCTCTACATGATAAGCATATTGAGAGTAAACTGACAAATAACTTTTCAACCAAACAAGCAAAATAGCTGTAAAGCATATAGCTCTTTATGTATAACAAAAGATTGTTATGCCATAATAAAAGCAGACTTAAAGAAAAGGTAGGAATAAAAATATCCATTTTTATAGGGAAAGAACTGTTATCGTGTGCAACAGACTTCTATTGTGCTTATTAGATTTACAATATATTTTTAACAGAAGGAAACAAACATGTTTCTCTCTTTCCATTCAGAATCAATCCATTGCAGAATGAAATGAAGAGTATGAACTATAATCTATGTTTTCAACTTCACAATCTAGCATGAGAGATTATTATGGTACAAACTCACGTGACTGATTTCTGGTCTGTTCTTTCAATCAACATATGGAAGAGAGGGTGCTTAGATAATGTCGTTTTTTCTATCTACCTTTGTGAACATCCAACTCTAATCCCAATAAGATACAGTAATTATTTCCCTCTTTTGTTAAAGTAAGACCCAGAGACTTTTGGACACCTCATTAAAATTCAAGTTCCTTTGTGATGACTAAACTGAGCAACTCTTTCATTTAAGGTGTCAAATCCAAAAACTCAGCTCTATTCTGACATATCACATCAAGGTCCCAAAGCAATGGTCCATTCATGATGGTCTGTCACATCCCCCCAAAAGTGTGGGAAGCAGACTTTTGGGAAAAGTACATGCACACCTCTGTGAAAAGTGAATGTCCTAACCAAACTATAGAAAAATTGCCAATGTGGGCAACCGTGACAGCGACCAAGAATCTTGCCCCTCAACTAAGACTAAGAAAAGCCGTGGGAAAGATTAAAAAAAAACACTACCCAAAGATTCCATTGTGGCTATCTACATTGGAAGCAGTCACACATCCAAATATATTGGATTATGAAAATATTGTCAGGTATAAAGATTTATTATATGATACTGGAGAGTTTAAAAATAGGAAACAAATACAAATTCAAGGAAAGGAGATAGCATGGTGGCCCTTTGCACAAATATAAACCCATTATAAAAAGATAGAGAACAATTTGGCTTTAATATGACCCCACAAGAATTAAATATGGCTAGGAGAGGAAAAGAAAACAATTAGTAAAACATATAAATATCTTTTGGACTACAAATTAAAAGAAGAAACAGTCACAGAATCTATGATAATTTGGGCTAAAAACGTGGGTCATAGTATTGAATTAGATAAGTGGGAACACATCTGGCAAACAAATTACAAATTAACCATGTCAATCTCGTATTAAAAAAAACTTATATAAAATGGTTCATTGCTGGCACCTACCTCCTGCGAGACTGGCTAAGATGTTCCCCAACCTACCACCCAACTGTTGGAAATGACAAGAAACATATTTTCACATGTGGTGGACTTGCCCATGTGCTCAGAAGTTTTGGAGAAATATTAGAAACTGGATTTTAAATATAACAAAACAAAATTTAAAACTTGAACCCGAAACCTTTCTGCTAAGTATGATAGATTTAAACATGGAGAAAAAATTTCAATATTTAATTTTGCACATCATAACTGCGGCCAGAATAACCTACGCACAAAACTGGAAACTGTCTTTCATTCCTTCAGAGGATATGGCGATTAAAAAAATACATGAATGTGCTGAGATGGATAGCCTAACCAAATTGTTAAAAAATAAACAAGATAGTGACTATTATGAAATATGGAACATTTGGTATGAGTGGTTAAAGAAAAGGTAATATTTGATATTTGGATAAGTTATGGAAATGACAGAAGACGTGCATTTAATTATAAACTATATAGAAAAATTAAAACATTAAAAGAACGAAGGAGTTATTGTAACAAGGCAGATCACGTCAATGATAAAGATAAAGAAAAAAAATGTAACCATTGCTCAATATATGCTGTAAAATGTATATATGTAAACATATATATATGTTGATTTGTCTGTTTCAAATGTATGTCAAATAAATGTTTTTTCTAGAATAAAAAATTATTTAAATAAATTAAAAAAAAAAAAAAGACTAAGAAAAGCCCAAGGCAGTGGTGGCTAACCTTTTTGGGCTCCCATACCAAAAACTGTGTGCGGCTTACACGCATGCGCATGCATGCCAGCACACAGAAGGCAATACGTGCATGCATGCGTGATCCCCCCTATGCCCCGTGCATGCATGCGTGATCCCCTTGTACACCATACATCTCCCGTGCCCCCCGTCCCCTGCGCATGCTGCCAGATACCCAACAATCAGCTGTTGGGCGGGCGGCGCGGGCGCATGCACAGTGGGGATCTTCCGGGCGACCTCTCGCGTGTCAGCCAAAGTGGCTCTGCATGCCATTTCCGGCATGCATGCCATAGATTACCATAAGGAAGAGACCTTATCCCACTACGGATCATTCAAAACAACTTGAACTTTTGGGCAATCTGCAACCAGTGTCCTGATATAAAGAAAAAGGACGATTCTACCAGCTATAAACCAATCAGCCTCCTCAACAAAATCTGTAAACTCTTCATAAGATACCTATAACAGAAATCCCAAACTTACTAGAACAATAAAATATCCTTGCAGAAGAGCAATATGCCTTTGGAAAAAGCTGGTTATCATTGATCAGTGTCTAGTACAGAGGATGCATATTGACCCCACTCCGGTTTAATTTTTGTATCAATTGTTCAACAGAAGTTTTGCTCCTCAAACTTGTTGCAAGACAAATCTCTGCTTTACTTTATGTACATGATCCGACATTACGTTCAAAAACACCTATTGACCTTAAAAGAGCATGAGAGAAATAGAGAAGACCATCCAGTCAATGATGGGATTCAAATAATTTAACAACCGGTTCTTCCTAATGACCAGGGGGGGGGGGGGGGGGGGGGGGGGGAGAGAGAGAAAGCGAGAGAGTACACTGCCAGGCCTGATATAACTCTCTGAGATAGAATCGGATCTCTCCCTCCCTCTCTCTCATCCACACACACACACACACACACACACTGGAGAATATACTGTATGTGTGTGTGTATATATATATATATATATGGTGTTCGGCTTGGTTCGGGTATTTTCCCACGTCATTGTAGTTCTTTTAAAGTTGTAGCAACGTTTCAGCAGAATCTCATCTGCCATCATCAGGCTTCTGTATTGTGTCCGTCTGTG